TCGATCGGACTGCTAATAACAGAGTAATTTCTACTGATCACGATTCGTGGTTCACCCTGTATATTCAATAAATTTCCTAGCAATTCAGAATGAATCATGCAGTGGAATTCTTCATCTTAAATTTAATATTCCTTCAATTCTCCATAATATTTGATCCAGCGATGCGATCCCGACTGGTATCCGCAAATAATCCTCTTTCCTATGTTATTCGGCTCAAGGAAACGATCGCAGCTTTGTCGTGGATGGTCGGTCGCGATACACACTCCGATGCGAATAAAGTGGTTCGAAATTTTTTCGGCTCTTTCGTCCCTCGTGTCGCGAATACGTCGAGCACGTAGTCGGATTTCATGGAAACGGCACGAATCCATTTAATATACCAGGCACCGGGTCGCGATCATACGACGCCAGAAAAGCGTTCGATCTACGAGAGGGATCTTGACTCAAATCGTTGGTCAAACATCCGTCGTATCATTCCTCCTGTAACTGGAATTGCCAGCTCGACGCATTTGTCATTGCTGGTTCGATCGACGATTGTATTGTGAGATTGGGATCTCCATACCCAACAAAGGAGCAAATAACATCTTTGGAAAATAGGAGGGTTTCGTGGAGCAGTGGGTCAAAGTCTCTGCTTTCGGCGCCGGGGGTCGTGAGTTTGAATCCCGCTTGGGCCTTCTAATTTTTCCAACGCTCCTACAGTATAAACATAATTTTTATTGAAAAAGGAACTCTTGGTCATATAAAATATCCACATAGTAGATTTAACCGCAAACTGGCGATACCCTAAGGGAAAGTCACCCCGATGTCACAGTTTGACGTTGAATTTCAATTACGGACTCTGACACGGCATAGTGGAGCGCCCCATGTTGGATCAGCGTATTCTAGATTACCGAGTTTTACGAACGCCTGAAGTTCGCGGGGAAGTTTGATACGAATTCGCGAAGTAGGAATTTGACTTACATAGTCACGAAAGTAATAGAGTATTAAACTGCCAGGCTAAAGTGAATCCAAGTAGGTAATTCTGAAGTAACTCGAGGTGAAGAGGTCGCGGCGAACCGAGCGATGTTTAAGCAGTGAAGATATCAAGGAACTATTCTGTCATCGTGGAACGTAATAAACTCTATATGATTCGTGTCATGATAGTTAATTATTCAGAAAGTGATGTAATTCGTGAGTTGCACCAACTGGCCATTGGGTTCAAAACTAATTGGTGAAATAATTACAATAGTCTGTTTGTTCTAGGTTGTCGCAAATAAGTAATATAAATAGTTGAAACGACTCTTGACGCCTCTTTCCTCTTTAGCGGCTTGAAAAGAAGGTGACCTTCAGAAATTTTTTAAAATAAAGCAAAGCAGATACGGTAAAAAAGCTTCTGGTGCCCATGATATCTCGAGGTAGAGTAGACTAAAATCAAAATTTCAAAAAGATTATTGAATGTCACTCCAACCCCTACCATACGACCTATCATGAAGCCAAAAAAAATAAAATAGCCGCACTTGGTATGAGTTTTAACAGACGCATACAAAAAAGGGGGAAGTTTTACGCATATCATTCTCGATAACAAAAGAATTTATACTTCGAAATTGTCAACAGTAGGTCATGCGATAACTGATTTAATTACAAACAGAATGCCACAAGAATTTTCAAAATCGATTGAAAACATTTTGTGTTATGATGGGCACCGTTTGGACAATGTATAATAAATATAGCCGAGGAAGCTTTTTTTACCATATCTTCTTTGATTTTTTTTTAAATTCCTAAATATCACCTTTTTTTTGGCTACTGAAGAAGAAAAGGGGCTTAACGCCTAAGTAGGAAAACATTAAAATTAAGTAGAAACGCATCGGCAACTTCAGAAGAATACTGTCTTGAAATAGTAGAACAGTAAAATTGTAAGTGATACAGAGTGCTTCCTACAGATGTAGTTCTACACAGTATTATATACAATAGTGCCTCCCATATAGAAACTATTGGAAAGACATACATATAATGGAACAATCATCTTTCTGATACGAAACTTCGTTTATTTAAATAGAGATCAAAAAAATTGACATTTCGTTTAAATAATTATGGCTACTCTCTCTTTTGAGCTGCTAAATTATAGAAATTTTTCGGCATAAGTAACTGCGTAGGACTAACACATTAGGATTAACACAAAAGAAAATATACATTATGTGTAAGCACTAGATGTTTGCAACAGGAGAAGACATCTGTTATTGACAACATACCCTTCGGATAACAAAACGTTTGAATATTAGCATATTCGGATACTGGAGGCTCTACTGTATTTGTATCATATCCATCATCGTTGCAGCTAGTAAAATACAGTCCTTAGATTTAGTTCCCTTTTCTAGAAATCTCCATTGCATTCCTTTAATCTCCGCCAAGTTACTATGCGGAGGTCGCCGAGGTAGCTCACTGTGTCTCGCAGTGGGAAACGTCAGAGGTGTCAAATTACAGGTCTCATACATTTTCGAGATCGAATAACAAGGATACCCGGTTAGAAATTCTAATCCGTTCAGAACCGCAAACGAAACCAACCCTGATCCGATCACTGCGAACGTTCTCGCCCGACGTACATTCCCGTTCATGAACCATCGAACAGCTGGTTGTTTGGTGGAATATGAAAACCGAATGAAAGATGCAGTTTTCTGAATCAATTTTACTGAATTCATATTATTTTTATGTAAGATAGTGCTGTCAAATATACGTCTAACAACTTTCAGAATTACCATAGAGAACTATAAAATAATAATCAGCCGTAAATTCTGCATTGCTGTCTAGACCATATTAGCCGTACTTAAGCAGACTGAATCTATTCACACTCGAAAACAGAAGAAAATCACTATATCTTCTGTTCTTCTTTAATAATACTCTAGATTCTAGATCAAACTTTCGATTTATTTTACCTGTCACCAAGCGTATTTCGACATAAATTGTTACGCGCTGCGTACCATAAATATATACAGTTAGAACTTTCCTAATTTTATATTTTTTTAGCCCAGTCACAGCGGCTATTGCTCTCGAACAAAACTTCCTTTTACCCATTATATATAGTTCTTTCCTTTTTTAATCTCCTCGTCAAAAGGTTCAACATTTGATCGACAGTCGTTGTCGTCCGTGCGGTACTATCAAAAACCGGAACAAAAGGGTCATAAACCTGTACCCTTTGAGTACGCGCACAAATTCAGCCCGGTCAGGTCGAACCTTGACTGGCGAACTTAACGAGTTGCACGTGTGCACGTCACCCTGAAGGAAAGATATTCCTCCTTCATGACATCCTGGTAAAACCAACGGATTTCTCCTCCATGAAGGCAACCAATCAGCGGATAGTATTTAGCAACCGCCTTCACCTTAATTTCAACCAATCAGACAAAACGCATATTTCCTTTGCTTCTTCAAGTTCGTCTAAAAGTCAGTCTACCAGCAACAGCTAAAGAGTCAACACCAACTTGCACTCTGTATACATTTACATATATGACTCCAGAGTAATGGTATAACCTGTATCGCGTATTATACTTCGTCACTTTATTCATCATTCAATAGTTGTATCAATAGTTTGTTTTGTTATCTATTATCATTAAATTCACATACACTATTTCCATTTTTAGTTTATTCAAATCTACTATCCTTATTACGTTAATTCGTATTAGGAATCGCACAACTTCGGTGTCGATAATAACCGTAACGGAAATTTACGACCTTCGTTGACTACCACAGTCTCGTGAATTCGCGCGTGAACATAAATTATTACCTAATTACCAGACTGCGGATTTTATGCATTTATGGTCTATAGGGCTCTGTGAAATACAATAAAAAACAAAACTTTCATCGGATCCAACGAGTTTTTTATTTTATTCTGAACCCAATAAGATACTTCAGAGAAAAAATAAATTTCTACGATTGCTTCTGACTTTATAAAATACTTCAGAAACTTTTATTTTGCATAAAAATCCGCAGTCTCCTAATCACAAATAATTGTTATGTTGGATTCCGGGTTGTGGAATTGAGGGCAACACTTAATAAAAAAATTTTGAAGAATTTTATTCGATTACGCGTAACAGAATTGTCGTAAGATTCTAAATTATACGTTTCGGAGTTCTCAAGTCTCCGTTGGAACCAGAATTACCCCCTGTGTCTTTTCGGAAAGCTTATTATACATATAATAGTATGAGGTGTTGTGGTGGGGAGAAAGTTGCAATGGCCCTTAGCTACAGAGTGAGTCAGAAGCCTCCTCTAGGATGTTGGACTTTGAAAAGAGCAGAAGCGACTATCACTAAGATGTTTTGGACATAACAGTTCGGTTGTGATTATCAGGTAGGCCCATTGGTGAGTCAGAAAGCTGGTCATCCAACAGTTATATCTATGCCATTGTTACTGTATTTTTGTTGTTTACGTTTGATTTTTTATTCACGTGTCGTTGTTTATATTCATATTTATGTAATATTCGTTAATATAAATATTATTATTAATATTATCATTTCTTAGCAGAAATATGTATCATATTGGCAGAAATTAAAATTGTTCACAACACTCAATGCATTCTACAGTTTTCCAACAATGTATAGAATCAACAAGAATTTGTTTATTTCAAAATTAAAGCGATTCGCAACTGCAATTCTTTCTTATTCCCATTTAAGTAACTTAAATGTCCGATGGTATATCGACGAGAGTGTAGGTTTGATTTTCGCGTTCAAACGTACGTGAATCATCTATGTATATGGCGATGTACACTGCAGCCTCGGTTCGTTTAGGCTCGGATTCGTCGTTCGAAGTTCCATTCCGGGCCTTGACGTTCATATTTCAGCCGGAAAGCCCCGTATCCTTCGCGAGGCAAACGATGCGCCGCTACTCGATGGGCATCGATCGAACGCGAGGTGGAAGAACCAAACGACGACCACCGCCGCCTCCCGTCCAGATTTAACGCTGGCATTTGCATTTAGAAGAGCTCCTCGCCCGAGCTGTTGTTTACTAATCGGAACCGGAAAATGGTGCTCGGGACCCGTGAGATTCGTTCTTGACGCTGTAAACACGATCCAATGGGCATCCGATACTCCATCTGCGGCCGGGCTCGACGGAATCATCATAATCAACAATTTTCTACGTATTTAGTACTCTTCGTGACTCCTTCGTAAATATTTTCCTCTTTTTTGTGATTCTACGTTTGATAAGTATTTCGATACGAGCATCATCTACTAGGGTGATTTGATTAATCCAATATCTGGAATTAGAGAAAGATCAGTTCGATTAGCTTGGGAAATGAATGGAATTATCGTAATCACCATTACTACGTACTTAGTACTCTTTGAGAATTGTCTACTAGGCAGGGCTGGTTAATCTAATGTTTAGTGCTCGAGAAGGATCGGTTCCACTAACTGGGAAAATGAGTGGAAGGGACTAGTACGGCGACTCATATTGTAGACATCGACGCGTAATTCCTTCGTCAACAGTATTCAAATGTTAACAGAAAATAACAAACAATAATTGGTGGATTCGGTTGGAACAGTACTTAAAGTAACTAAATATGACCCATCCTATTGTAATGATTGTAATTACTTTATAACTGTCGAACATATCCCAGAAAACTCTACATTTTCAAACGACTGCCAAAAGAGTCAGATTAAGACAACTTTAAGAAACAATTTCATAAGAAAAAAGATTTATGTTATACTAACATTGCTCCTAGAAACAAAGCTAATTGACAAGGTCATGTACATTACGATAGTTTACTCGTCACAGACTGTCGTCAATAAACAATCTAAGCGGTTGATACGACACTAAATCCTCATGTGAAAAAAAGGTTCATTTTGGGGGTCTGTTCTTGGTCTGCTGCCTTCTTTATTTTGGGTGTAAATAAATACCAATATAGGAACACAGCATTTCATATAAGAAACATCAAGTTGGCCTGCAAATAAAAATATTTCTTGTATCCCAGCAGATTATAAGATTTATTTAGGTCACTGCATTTCATTGTGAATGTGATTATCAATCGTTGTCCAAGGAATTTCTAGAAATTCCTATAAATAAATTAAATGAACAAAAAGTGTATGCATCTCGAGAAGGAAAGATTTTCTGAATCTAATACATCTTTAGAACGAGTACAATACACTCATCAACTTTATCCACCCATTTCTGTTACATGGTATTCAGACATATTTTATTCGCACTCTTTAGTATCCCACAACTTTAGGTTTTTCTTTCTTCTGTGTGTCTTGATGAATTGAGGATAGAAATTCTCACACTGCCTACCTGATTCGAAGTAAACGGAGGGAAAAGTAAAAGAATTCTGTCAGAGACGTCGATGGTGAATGTCTTTCGTACGATTTGTTCGTCCGCCGAAACTTTTGAATTATTAATAAAGTATCGAGTGTATATTCAGAATGAAGACTGACACAATTCTACGTTAATTCGTAACGATACGTATCGCCTTGAGGTTGCGAAAAATCTTTCATTGCTTCAAGAAGGAAATGAGAGACAGGTAACTCGAAATGGTGAGACGATTTCCATGTCACTGTCAGTCACGTTTATCGCTTCTTAAAAGCATAAATTGTGGATAATAAAATTATAGGGCAATTTCTCCGAGTCCTTTAATTAATTTGTTATTGGATACGTTTATCTTAGCATTAATCTGAAATATAGTGACTGGTATTTCGAAATGACCGTATATCATCTTTTGACAGTTTATCGATGCATTTTGCATAAGAATTCTCCATTCTGTAATGGATTAAGACATCGAGAAGCGACAGAAATTAATGTCTTTCTGGAAACAAATTTTAAAAGTAGCATCCGTCCCGATATAGAAAATATTTCGTAATACAGGAACTGAAATTGAAATCATGAGGTATGTCGATTCGTAAATAAACTGTAACACGTACGAACAATTTATCTATAATTACCAATAAATTTCTATAATACGAAGAAGTAATAATCAGCGGTTACCCTTCGCTCAAATTCAGCTGAACAGTAAACATGATTAATAAAACAATAATTATAATATCACAATCCATGAGATTACAGATAAAATTGCATTTTTATTACGATAGATACCAGAAATAAACCAGGTAGTTCCCAACAACTACGGTACATAGCTAGTTGTCACTGCATTTTTTATATTTAGAATTTTCAATCATTAACCTTTTCGTCCCCAGTGTTGCCATATGGCTACATATTCTTAATTACGAAATAAAATATTAGTATCGTGCAGTTTTTCATATCCGTGAGTGTTTATTTAAAAGCTCATCAATAAAATAAGACATTCTTTGTTCTTTGTCTCTTTGATTTGTTGGAATTCAAATGTTGTGCATTTGATCACAGGTAAGAAAAGTCGGGTTCCATTATGCATAATAACATTGTAATGGGTATTATTATATATATAACTGTGATAAAAGTAAGAAAGTTGTCAAATGGCAATGAATAAAAAATAGCATTAAACGATTTCAAATTGTTAAAATGTTCTTGTGAATCACTTATATGTCACGTAATATATACAAAAATACAAGAAAATATTTCTTTAGTAATTTTTAAATATCTTAGGAATGAAAGGGTAATTAAGTAGATAGACATCGCCGATTTTTATGCGAGGTATAAGTTTCTAAATTTCTAGAAAATAATTAGAAACTATCAAGTAATAAGCAGAAATGAATATCAAAAAGACGCTACATTTATTCTACAACAAATTCAACCACGCGCACGTACTGAAAATAATTTTATAAAGTTGCGACAGAATATGTTCTACAATTTCAGTTGAAAGTGCGCGGGGATATATCCTGTAATAAAACAAACGACACTTTTATCTTTTGCAGCTTCTCGCCGGTAACTATGATCCGAACACGGAGATGGAACAGGTCTTCGACCCAGCGATCGTGGCAACAAAAGTCCGTTTCATCCCTTACACCTCTCACATGCGCATGGTATGCATACGGGTGGAGCTTTATGGCTGTCCATGGACCGGTGAGTGAAATTTATAGCCACTCTTCTTTCTACCCATATTTCACCTTCTCCCCCCTACCTCGTACTTATTCGCGACAAACTGTCCACCCGCTAAGTATTGAAAAGGACGACCCCGATAGTTTTCAGTTTCACGCATTTTTATCACCCTGTCGGTATTTCTCAATTTTATCGGGCAACTTCTAACGTTAGAAATATGTCGACGCATCCGGTGATCGTGTCTCTTATCACGTCAGTATTGAACCTCTTATTTAAAACATTTAGAAATACTTTCAATACATTATTTTCAAATTTATTATACATGGTTTTACGTTTCATTGAGGTTTAAAAAATTTTATTCGATGCAAGAAGGTCGATCAAATGAAAATCCTTTAACCTAATGTTTCTTGCATGCTTGAATGAGTACAGTAAAACCTCGATTTTCGGACCATCTATTATCGGAATGCTCTGTTAACTGAATATTTTGTCATCGGAACGTTCTGTTATCCAAACAATGTATTTCATTCCTTCTGTACAGGTATGTAACGATAAAAATTAAATCTTTTAACGATAATTCAGTTATCGTTAGCCTTTCGTTGGCCCTTCGTTGGAATATTGATTGGCCAACGATCATACCCAACGCTGGGCATACGTCATTACAATACAAGGGGCCAACTGTAGGTTTCTTTCTGTAGGTCCAATTGTTGAGTATCTACAATAAACCAACTATAGGGAGACAGTTGGCCATACTACTCTTTCATAAAAACCTTTAAAAATATTTGAATGAGTATAACACTGGAAATAATATTTATAATAATTACTTGTTATAAAATAATTAGATACATGTATAAATTATGTGTATTAAACAGATAACTAAGTGTTTTACCAGCAAAGTTACCTTTACAATTTATGCATGTATCTAATTATTACAAATAATTATTATAGGTTATTTCCAATCTTCTGTCCCCTGACTCTATTTTCACAAAATGAGTTTGTTAGGATTATTTTTGGTAACACAAATAACGACAATATCGTCATTTTCATAATTACCTATCTATTCAGTCTTACTTTTATTATTTTAGCAATAACTTTGCATATTACCGTTGGAAAATTCCGTTCGTTGGGATATGGTTAATGTTTTTGCCTACAAATTCCTAACATAGGGCCAACGACGAATAGTTATAATAATTTGCCAACGAATAGCCAATGTTGGGCCTATAATTATTACTGTTGGTTAAATAACATGCAATTTACAACGATAATACAACATTGTCCCAACCAAAGTTTGCCAACGTTGGATATTCGTAATATATGTATATACATGAATAAGAAAACAAAAAAATCAATTTGGAATATAATAACAACTTTTCGGTTGTAACAATGTTTCTGATGCCTTTAAGGCGATATTTAAATGTTGCCAAACTTTGGTTGCACCAATGTTGTATTATCGTTGTAAATTTCATATTATTTAACCAACGGTAATAATTGTTGGCCCAACGTTGGCTATCCGTTGGCAAAATGTCATAACTTTTGGTTGTTGGGCCTATGTTGGGAATTTGTAGGCGAAAACACTAACCATATCCCAAGTAACTCCAAACCGTTGGCCACCGTTGGCCAACCATCAATGCTACTAGGGATGTGGTGTTATCAGTTGAAAAAGAACATGAAATCTTGAGGAGATTCAAAAGTGGTGAGAGTGTGATAAAGTTAACAGGAAAATATAGTGTCGGGAAGCTACGATTAATGGGACCAAAAATAAGGAAAAAAAACCTGGAAACTTTTGTACAATGTGCCGCCCATTTTCATTATTATGCTTAATGTATTTGAAGTTTCACGCGACAAAAGTTATTCTATTATCTGAAAATTCTGTTATCTAGAAAATTCTGTTATTCTGAAATCTAAGTTCTACAGTATTATGTTAATTACAATGAGTTACTTGGATTAAATCATGTTTTAAACTAGCACTGATGAAATAAATAAATTTAGAATTATTGTAATGGGCTATTACGTTATTTGATTCCACCTCGATTGCCTACAAATTACTGACTATTTGATAATATTAGTGTCCATTCAAAGAATGTTAAGGAAGCTTGCAAAATCGTTAATAACATACCATCCAAATTTCACGATCATGAAAATGTCACGTCGAACGCCTACGCATTTCGTAGATCCTTTGGGTTCCCGTATCGGTCGCATTCATATTCTTAAACATCGATCGAATCGCAACAAACTTCGCCTGGCTCCGAGGCCGGCATTAACGGAGATTTACGAGCGCGAACGATTCCAAGGGAGTACAGGTGTGCCCGCGTTAATCTGACCCGGTAACGGTTCAACGAGCGATGCGCAACACGGTTCCGGTCGTCGTTGCTCGGGAATTCACGGTTATAAGTATCGATACATAGCAGCAACGGCGGAATTGGGCGGTCCTCGTAATTGCTTGTACGTTAAGAAATATTTACCTTGAGAATGTTTGTTTTCCATTTTCGTATTCCACAGCCAACCCGATCGAACCTGGCCTGCGTGCCATCTCCCGTCGAACCAGACAGACGATGTGTGTGTTCGACGAGTACTCGCCTCGAATTATATCAACTGAACAGCGTTTTCATTCCGGTTAACAACAACGGGAGACCGTGGAACGACTTTTGTATATTCCATTCCATGCAATTGTTATAACGAGAACGAAGTATTTTCCATATGCTGGCCGGTGATTGCTGTGGAAATTAGTGGAATCGTTGGTGCGTGCACAATAGAGCGTGCGCCTGTGCAACTACACTACCGTTCAAAAGTTTGGAAGCAGTTAATGTATAATCTTGAAAAGTCAAGTTACTTATTTTAAATAACTTTTCTAATGAAATTTCAGGCATTCTATTCATTAACTCCTTTAAATATTCTTTATCCACATTTCTCCATTCTGCGTTAAAGCACACCCAGAGTTGTGTGACACGCGCACGAATAACAGAATACACACACAAGCAGAATATTTTTAAAGAATAAAGAATTTTTTTAAACGTGATTAGTAAAACGATTTTTTCCAGCAGTCTGGTTAAAATGCGCAATATAGTTTTTTACTGACGGTTACTTTCAACAAATTAACAAAGGATTATTCCATTAACTGAAAAATAAGACCGTTTCCAAACGTTTGAACGGTAGTGTATATTTCTTGGCGCATTTTTTCACTCCACCCTCTCACCCACACCTCGTACACACGCGAATAGCGCCATGATAAATACAGACGCGACGTTTTTATGGAGACGGAAATTTATCGTTTATACTGTTATCAGAAAAAGAAAGCACGGCGAGATGAATTGGCCGCGTTTTCCAACGCGTTCGTTGTTCCTCGAAGTGGTTATTCATTCTTTTTTCGGACCGCCATTCATGCGAATCGATTAATTTAATACCGTTCCGCGTTTCCATTTCCTTCGTTTCTTGTCACACGATTAAATTTCAATACGTTTCACCGCGAAGCATTAAAGATGCATCGGAACGAACGCAGGATATTTATTCGCGGGAAAGTGTTGAAATTTGTTCCCTCGTTGGTCTAGAATGACGTCTGCCAGTCCTGCTTCGCGATCGTTTCAACCGTCCAATAAATCATTTCTTCGTTGGTCCCTTAGGAAGGAGTCAGGTAAAAGTGCTATCGTTTTATTGGGTACGATTCTGGCATTGATGAAGATATATACGCGTTAAATTACCAGGCGCGGTTGGCGAACGGTTTGTACAGCGAATAATAATAACTGCCAATCGGTCAGCGCGAAAATTTGTTACCGCGGTATTCAAGAACGAGACTTCACTAGGAACTTTGCTTTGAAATCTTACTTATTTCCAAGGTAATTCAAAATATTGAATTTTCTGACAGCTTGTAAAATATAATATTTCTAGATTGGATTTTGGTATCCTTGGCACCTGTATTTGTGTTTGGCAACACGTATTTATTAATATACAGCACTGGAAATATTTATTGCATCGCTCGAATATTATACATGTTATTACTTATACCTCAGTTGTTATTGATGCTAGGAAAATTAATAAAAACGCATATTTAATGCGTAAATGTGTAGCTCATTATCCTGACCATAATTAGTTGGTTAAAAATAATTTTATGAATCACTGTCACGTCTTGAAATAGTGGCTACAGGACTTCGAGGAAATAAATTATTTATTGCTGTCAAACCCTACGAAATTGGATTTCTAGACAACTACAAACTGTATGCGCTAAGGTTAACACAGGAGCCTTTTAGTAATGTTCAACAAAGGCTGATTTCAGAGATTTTAAGATTGCCTTCATTTTATTTTTATATGAAACTACATATTTTTATATACATCAATTAATGTGCTCTTTTGTTCTGTATACAAAAGAAATAAGATAGGTGTGTCGATAAGGGATTCATTTAAAAATTATTTTAACTGAAATTTTAAACCATTCTATTTATAATTTATGCTTCAACGTTTTTTTTATACGTCTATTCGTATTTATTGACTTTAAAACTGCTTGCCAGTATCGGTTCGTCTGATATTTCGAAATATTACATTAACTGACATGATTTCGTGGCTTAAAAGAATGAACAAGAATGCTGATTTCAAAACGTCAAAACCTTATGGGTACAGAAAACTGACCGATCACTTATTAAACTAATTATTTTTAGACGCATGTACCTTAACCCTCTTAGTATCCAAAAACCGAAATATTGGCTCTGCGGTCTTAGCCACAAATACCTTCGTCGATATTTCGTATGCAATGCAAATTATAAATTCTGATACAGAAAGTAACGAAAGTACAATACTTCCAACATTTTCAATATAACACAAACTACACTTTACAATACAATACAAAAAAAAAGTGTAAAATTATCGTTATTTTTAGAAAAAAATGCATTAATTTTAATACATATTTTCAACAATGCATATTTTCCAAAGTATATCTAAGTGGTACACAGAAAAATTGTAAGATACTAAAAGGGTTAATACTTTTTTATGGAGAATTAAGAAACACATCAAGTGATGTATACAAAAATATCTACTTCTGTTTAAAAATATAGTGGTGACCTTGAAATCTCTGAAAGGCTTCCACTTCCGGATCAGAACAATGCGCCACATGATGCATCGCGCGAAACGATGTAAATTTGTCTATTGAAATTTTCTTCTACCTCCCACTATTTTAAAGATACACTTTTCGCCAGTTGCATGGTACATCCTGTACACTTGTTCCTCGCCCATAAATTCTATAAATGCTGTCCACACCGGGACAACAGGTAATCGAGTGCGTTGGCGGGTCGTGACGTCGAGATTTAAAACTTTCCAGTCGCGTCTACTCCTCGGCACGTGCAGTTTATCCGTGCGACCTGGGCGCAATCTTATCACGTATCGTCGGGGATAAAATGTCCCCGGTACCATCGGCCACGTACCAACCGTGATGATGCATAGTTCACGAGCCGTTTTCTCGGTGGATCGAGCTAACGCTCAGTAGTGCTCCCGGTGTGCTCTTTTTGTTTATTCTCTCGGTTCTTTTTTTTCTTTTTTGCAGAAGGCCTGGTGTCGTATTCCATGCCCCAAGGAATCAAGCGGGGCTCGGAGATTGACCTTTCCGACCGAACGTATGACGGCCGGGAGGAAGGAGGTTACCTCTCCGGGGGACTCGGTGAACTTGTCGACGGGCAAAAGGGTCCTGACAACTTCAGATCGGACGTCAGCGGTAACGGGAAAGGTGAGCTGCTTCCTTCGTGCTGAAATGAGATTAGCGCAGCTAGAGCCCGATCGTGTCTAGATTAGCGTGATAAAGCCGTCACGGCTGCACTCCCGAGTTACCCGCTCGTTGGCCGACTTGTACTGCTTCTCTCTGTCTACATTTTATATATTTCTTCTTTTCTTTTTTTTCATGTGGACTTTCGCTGGTGGTTGAGTGTCGGTTTGGTTGCTAATTGATATTTTAGGAACCTAGTGTCGATCATTCGCGCCTGCATATTCTAATAGTTTGTTAATTGGAAATGTAACCGGAATTGTTTTGTTTATTTATTTAATATATTCAATGTATAAATCGAAGATAGAATCGTGTCTGAATGTGAATTGCTGTAGATAGTTGATCATCCTGCGTTATACCAGGTTCCTTAAAATATTTCTGTTGTAAGTGAAAATACAGTATATAATCGATGAGTGTTCGAAGGCTCCTCGGCACTAAATGTTCTGACGTCATCTCCATCACTAGGGGGGGGGGGGGCTGGAACCAGTGAAGCCCACAGTGGTTGGGACCGCGGGTGAACACTCAGTACAGTGAGGCCTTCGAACAATCCTCGATGATTTACTGTATTTCAATTAATAGTAGAATGTATTTAATGTAAAGGATATTTCGGGTCTGGTTGGTAACGCCTGGATTAATATAGACTAAGATTTGCCTCTTCGTAAGCTATTTTAGGTACTTGAACAAAACTTAATTATTTTTACATTTCTTTAATATTTACCATAATTCTATGCGTAATCTACACTTTGGTAAAAACTTCCTGAGGAATGTAGACATCGTTGAAAAAATATACTTACAGCAAATTATTGTGGTAGAATCTTCTTGAAGAATGTGGACACATTTGAGAAAATACACCTATAACATATTATGTTTAACCATCCAGTGGTACGATTGGTTTTTAATTCGTACATGGTAAGATTGGGCTGGATCCAACCTAATCGCTTTTTCATTATTTTCGTACAGGTAAAAAAAATGATTACCTTGAACTTCTATTTTAGTTTTTTTATATAATATGGAATAATAACTGAGTTATATAACATACAATAATATGAGCATTAAACGTTTACTAAATAATAAAAATTATCTTAAACCGAAAAGAGCATAGTCAAAAATAGAGTGAGAACAACACAACGGGCCTTACCATTAAAGAATTAACAGACTGACTGCAATTAATAGGTTGGTAGGAGTTAGAGTACCATCAAAAAGGCTAATTAAAATGGACTCAACAATTATGTGTAAAGAACATAGGCCAACATGAAATTTCATTTGACTCCAATGAACGAAGTTCCCAAATGAGTCTTCACACAACTTCATCTAATCTCTTAACTACCTACACACAGAAATTCGAACTAAATAGTAAGAAACACAACATTCAAGGTAGCTAAATCCTTCATTTAGGATGCCTATCTAAGAGTCCATCTGTGCTCACCCAATGTCTGCGCAATTACAATACAATGAACTCACCAAGAAGTTCACAAAGATAGCAGTTTTCGGCATATACAGCTAATCAGTTTGCATTCTAAATCCCCCCTGTAACACTAGAAAATGAGTTGGCACGCGTGGGTAAAGCAAAATCCGAAAAATTCAGCTGGAACTTTCGAACAGGAGAATCGTGGAAGTTCTTGAACGCGCGCCAGATAATCCTCAGAGTCTAGGCAGCCGGTCAGCCAGCGGCGTTCACGGGATGCGAATTCATCGCAGGCTCCCTTCCTTCGTAAGGGAGGGGATGGAGTTTAAAAGGAAAATAAAATTTCTCCTTGCGTCGATTCCAGGTGTGTAGGCCAGCCTGGAGAGATAAGAGAATTCTAGGGAGCCGACGCTAGCGGCTGGATCTCTCGGACTCTCGGAGGTGTACGTGTTCCATGCCCGCACACACGAATCTGTTCCAATTTACATTTATATTGAACCGCGGGGCAAGACTGCAAGCCACACTGCTGTTTACCGGCTCCCGGGATACATTTGTGTCTTTCCATTTACGCGCGCCGGGACAGGCCGGCACACTCGGAGTCTACGGGGTACTTTCAGCTTTTTAAACTTTTAAACCCGTCCCGACTGCGTGCTGGGCTCTCTCAACTCTCTTTAAACGGGGAGCCGTAGTTCGTCGCTTCGGTTTCCTTCCAATCGAGAAAGAGAATGGGAGTCCGGGTTTCGGGGGATGCAGTTTGATTCTGTTTTAGGCAAGTACCCATAATATCTTCAAATAGCTGTCATCAGGGTGTAACTATACAGGGTGTAACAAAAGTGTTGTAGGTTTCTAAAGTGGGTCACTCGTGAGGTGACTTGGAGCAAGTTTTTCCTTAGAAAAAATGTTATCCAAGGTTTTATTAACGAGATATTAATGAAAACCCCCGACCAATAAGAGCGCGAATCTGCCGGCCGAGCTTCCGCGGTAGGGTTAGATACCAATCGCAGCGCGTAGCCAACGGTACCACGAGAACTCGGCCGGCACACTCGCGCTCTGATTGGTCGGAATTTTTCGTTAATATCTCGTTAACAAAGCCTTGGATAACAGTTTTCCTAAGGAAAAACTGGTTCGAAATTATCTCACGAGTGACACATTTCAGGAACTTACAACACTTATGTTACACTCTGAATATCCACGATGGCCAAACTGCGAGTTGCGAGCCGCATGCGCCTCATTTAGACCCTTACTGCGGTTTCCATATACTTATACAATATTGTTTTATAATCTTGACGCGTACTACATACATCTATGTTATATGTAAGTTGCCCTATCTATGTTTTATAAGTTTGCTGACTTTATTATGCGGCATAACTAACAATTTAATATCGTTCCAATAGAGGCTGCGGCTCTCGAGTATTTCTGAGAGACGATATATGGCTCCTGACCTGACAAGGTTTGGCCACCACTGTTACATACAGCGCATATAAGAAAGTATTGACAGGTGCCCACGTTTTTGAAATAAGTTTGTAGATTCTTACATTATATCACGAAAACTTCTATTACTTTACTCATCTTCAATTATAGATAGTTTTCACAAAATATATTTTTCGTCACTACCTGCATATGTATGTTGTGTTCCGTTCAATCTGCAGGGTGATTAAAAAATAGGGGCTAAGACTTTTTGGGGATTTAGAGTACTCTTCGGAGGAGTAAAAAATGTCTGACCAACGTTGCTCCTAAAATCAATTCTTTCAGAGAAAAATACAAAAGTTTGTTTTCACGTTTGTTACAGATGTTCCTTGTTTTCTTTCCATTTCAATGGAAAAGCTCACATCTGTGGATCAGTATATTTCTTCTGTATCTCGTATTGCCGGTTGTCATACAACTTTCATTCAATGTACTTCTAAATCAATTATTCTGTTTACATACATGTTGCGAAGGAACTCGCGATATTGAACGCTCGTAAATGTAAAAGTTAATTTAGTACCGAAAGGAATGGATTTTAGGACCTATTTCGATTAGATATTTTTTACTTCTCTCGACTAGTACCGTAAGTTGGGATAACTTTGACACAAAGTCAGGAAATTATCAAATTCCATGGTGTAGCTCTTGTGTAGGTACTTTTACGTAAAATATATTTTCACGTAAAAATCAACACAATCAATTAATTTTCAGAGTTGCAAAATCAAATATGATCATTTTCTGACTTGGGACAAAGTTACCCCAACTTAAGGTACTATAAGCTTTTAAGTTTATTACTTTATAATAATACTAGGTGATGCACCTAGGCACATTTTAGGCCACCCAGACCTAAAACAGGCCACCTGAATGTCTTGGCTGTTACTGATGATAGAAAACAAGGTGTCAGATCAAACTTTGCGTAGTATCGAGGAGCACTGAATTCGATGTAAATAATTCTTTGATACGTCGATGCGTAGAGGTCATACGAAGGTCAACTTCGTCTTTTTTAAACGGAAATATGTTTTTTTACGTACCTTCGTACAAAATATACCAGTGTATGTGTCGTAAAACACTCTACTAGACGGTACGTAAAACAAATGTTTTTCCATTTAAAAACACGAAGTTGACCTTCATATGACCTCTACGCGTCCACCTATCAGAAAACTATTCACACCGAATTATACATATGCTCCCCTGATACCATGTAAGTCCGGTATGAAATATTTTGTTTTATCACCAAGTAACAGCCGACATATTTAGATGGGTCTGTTTTAGATGCCTCACCTTGCATAAGTGCTGTCGATCGAACTTTGATTTCCCCTAAACAACGTTAACATCAGACCTCCAACCATTTCGTGATCCCTTGATAGACTTTACACTCGGCACGTGTCCTATAAGAATATTTATGAACAGGACTGTACGTACCTACGATTTTTCCAACCCCCAATAACGCAGTCGGTAAGAATTCATGCTTACAGCATTCTCAAAATCAAACTATCGCGGTTAAACGCCAGAAACTCACGTGGAGCGGTCGGAGTGGGTGACAACGCCAAGGCGACCAGCTCGTGTCAACCCTCTTTACGAGAGCCATACGCGCGGTCGTATAGTTTCAGAGGCGGTTTAAGTGAGAAAATCATCGAGCGTCGACGAGTACCAAACCACGGGTATACCTATGGTCGGCGGTTATCTTACGGCCACCCCGTTGAATGTTCAGAATTGATGGTAGATAGCGGTCGAAGCCGGGCGACGACGACAGGAAACTGGAAACTATTTACTCGAGGGACGATATTAAGGGGTGGGGCTTATATGAAAGCGGATAGATCAGAGCGATATAATACCGGACGAGGGGGCATCGGGCACTCGAACATTGTCGAGGGACCGGAAGGGACTGTGTCGCAAGGAAAATCCAAAGCCAAACGGGGTACTGAACGCGGATACCGAATTGAAACGGAACGATTGAAACTCTCCTAAGTTTTAATAAGCTCTAAGGCTCTTACCGCGCCTGTTGCAACAACCAACCCCCATACCCACCCCTCTTTTCTATTCCCTTACGACAATGTCGAAATGGAGCTGCCCTGTCCCCGGTCTGGTCGAGAACCCCTCG